GGGCCGCCGCGTGCCCGTGGTCCTAGACTGGGCACCCCGGGGCAGGGCTGCTTTGAGCCGGGCCTGCGTGCTAGAGCACGGGTCTCCAACCGCTGACCCGGGGGTGCAAATGCAGCCCGGGTGCCCCGACACAGCCGAGCAGCAGGGAGCCTCCCTGGCCCTTGCCCCATGCCTGCCTTCCCCCGCAGCCGTGGACGAGCAGAACAAGCAGACTCAGGCCTATCGGAGCAAGAAGGACAGCTTGGAAGAGCTCGGCAAAGCGCCCGAACCCCTTGGTGAGGCCCTGCCCCCGCGGGGGTCACTCGCTGTTCAGGGGCTGGAGACGCTGGGGCCCCGGGAGGCTGGGGGGAGAGGCACCGTTCCCGCGCCCCAGGGCGCAGCTGGCCGGGGTATCGGGCTTGGGCTCCCTTTGCTGCCCGCACGGCTCCAGAGCCATGTGACTGCCAGGCCCAGAGCGCAGCTCAGCTGGGAGGCCTCCAGCCACGGGAACACCAGGGCCGCGTGCGACGTGAGCATGCCGTGCAATCGCACGCGCCCTGCACACTCACTGGGGGCTCCGAGCAGTGAGGCCTGGCCCCAGGGGGATCCTGGCCCTCCCAGGGAAATTGACCATCCCTGTGCGGGGCTGGCCGGAGCCGGGAAGCGGACCCCCACCTCGAGCTCAGCTGGGAGGCCTCCAGCCACGGGAACACCAGGGCCGCGTGCGACGTGAGCATGCCGTGCAATCGCACGCGCCCTGCACACTCACTGGGGGCTCCGAGCAGTGAGGCCTGGCCCCAGGGGGATCCTGGCCCTCCCAGGGAAATTGACCATCCCTGTGCGGGGCTGGCCGGAGCCGGGAAGCGGACCCCCACCTCGACTCCGGAGCTAAGTAACACCCGGCGCCCCCTGCTGGCAGGAGAGCAGTAAGTGCCTGATGCAGCCCTGGGCCCCTGCAGGGGGGCAAGGGGGGGGGGTGGCCTTCCTCGAACCCCTCCATTGCACGGCAAACCCCCAGAGAGGGGTGAGAGCCAGCCTGGCCCTGCCCGGGGACACACTGGGGCCCGGGCATTGTCCTGCCCACGAGGGGAGCCCAGTTCTCAGGCCGGGCAGTGTGCTGGGGCAGCCACCAGGGGGCGCTGAGTCCCGCGGGGAGGGGCAGGGCAGCCGCCTGCCCGTGGTCCTAGACTGGGCACCCCGGGGCAGGGCTGCTTTGAGCCGGGCCTGCGTGCTAGAGCACGGGTCTCCAACCGCTGACCCGGGGGTGCAAATGCAGCCCGGGTGCCCCGACACAGCCGAGCCCCGGGGAGCCTCCCTGGC